AACTCGCAGAATTCCTTCAACTGCGCCGTTCTGCTAGCTGAGATGCTAAAATGGCTATACACCTTAAGCACAACATTTTCAATGTCAATATCCAAGTTGCTTGCTGCATATCTTGTTGCATTGTGCAGAATATGGGCTAAACAGTTTGCAGCGAGCACGTCTTTTTGAGCCAGTTTCAGTTTCTGATAAACACTGTTGTGTTTTCCATAGTTAACGCTGGCGTTGTCTGCTATGCTATGCTATATGCTGACATTTTTTTCACATCTAGTCCAGACATCTCCAGTTTAGATAGCAGCTGATTTGTTATAGCTTCTGACTTTTCGTTGCTATCACTGTAAAAATCCAACAGTGCATGTTTCACGCCCTCCTCAAAGTGAACATATCTCAGTACAATGGGGAAACACTTGATCGTACCTTTGTTTGATGCATCACTTGCCACTGAATAATGCAGTTCATTTTCTTTTATATAATCCACATGCGTCTGGACAGAGTAGGGTGCTAGGACATTTTCGCACAAAGCTTTGGCCTTTGTTTTTCCACAGGTCATCCCTTTTGCTATTGATGAGTCGTTGTAGATTGTGCGATCAACTTTTATTCCACAGTCTACACTCCTGTATGACTGGTGATGCTTGACGGCATGATACACTTTACAAAGTTCTGCAGCAGAGATGTTGTCATCTTGAGGCGATGAAGCTTCACGGAAAAACGATAAAAGTGAAGAGGCACCTGCGCTTTGATCGTTGCTTTTGTGCTTATCTGTGTTAGCATGTCTGTCGACAGCACCTTTTCCTTTGCTGCTTACGTCCACATCGCAAGTCGTCCTTTCGGCTTTTTGTGAGCAATCCATGCTCTTTCGACCATTCAGGATTAAATGAAGTCTTTCGTTTCGGCATTTCTGCGGTTTAACCCTACCGCTAACTAGGTGGAGTTGGCTCATGAGCTAGTCGGCTAGCGCGAACGTCACTCTGTGCCACAGTGCCCTGCCGTGAACGTGACGTCAAGAAGCACATGCTAATTGTTTACGTTTATGAACCAATGAAATACAAGATATTTATTCGACATCGCATTCAGCCAATAATTTGTAAGACCACAAGTCTTACGGGGGTATATACTTACACATAACTTATTATTTGTATTTCTATGTATAATTGTCTATTTTTTTTTATACCCTAAAAGTATAAAATAGGGATGACCTCGGACAAATGAGCGTCCGGCTCAAGGCTGCGCCGGCAGACGGACACAGACATTGAAAACCGGACTGTCCGACCTACCGGACGTATGGCCACCCTACACACTGCTAATCCAGGTATTTTAAATTGGCTCTGTTGTCACATGCTGTTGTTGACTGGGGAAATATATCATTAGGTCCTACAGTATGTGCAGGGGCGGATCTAGACAAATATTCATGGGGTGGCAAGAGGGTGGCAGGAGATTTTGAGGGGTGGCATCCCCTGACAGAAGTATATGCTGATTTGAATCGCAATCATATCAATCAATTAGGGGTGTAACGGTACACGTACCCGTACTGAAATTATTCGGTACGGGCCCTTCGGTTCGGTACACGTGTGTACCGAACGAATATAGCGTTAAACAATTTAGAACATGAACAACTTTCTGGAAGTAATCTCAGGTATATATCATAGAGCGACCAAGTAATTTCATTGGATGAGAGGCATACTATGAGAGCTGGTCACAGGGATGCGTTCAAATGTAGTCAGTAATTTGAGGAACTGTCGAAATGGCGAACGCAGATAAAGTTGAGCTGAAAATCCTACAGCATCATTGAAGTCTCCGGTTTGGGAACATTTTGGTTTTGCAGTTACGTACAAGGATGACGGACAAAGACAGGTGGACCGAACCAAAGCTGTTTGTCGGTATTGTTCAACTAACATTGGTTACGCGGCTGGCAATACATCACACTCATTTGAAAAGGCATCACCCGAACGTGAATATCACCGGTACCAAAAGAAAAAAGACTGAAGTGCAAACCCAACTCCCACTAGCATGTAAGCCTCCACCACTCGCAGAAAGTTCAGACCGAGCCAAAGCTATTACAAACGCCAAATATCCTTATGTTGCCATGTTAGCAAAGCGCTACCTGGCTGTATCTGCTACCTCTGTCCCTAGAGAGGGTGTTCTCCACAGCAGGAGACATTGTTAGTGCCAGCAGATCTGCCATTTCAGCAAGCAATGTGGACAAGTTAATCTGAACATGAAAACATGAAAATACAATGACAAGCAAGTCCTAATGTCAAGCTGGCTGCTTAGGTACTAGTACAGTTCAAATACAGATTATTTCAGTTCATCGAAATGCTGCACCTTAATGTTTATTTTACTATATTTTGTATTTATTTGAATACATTAGTCACAGTTTAATAATAATAAAAAAAATGTTTTTAATGTTTTGTGATAATTTTTTCTGCTGTACCGAAAACGTACCGAACCGAAATGTTTGTGAACCGTTACACCCCTACAATCAATGTTAACTTGGAAAGCCACAATATTAATATTTTAACTCAATCACATAGGTGATATTATTGTGGCACATCAGTAAAGCCTTACATATAAGGTGGCAGACGTAATTTAATGAATTTTAACTGAACAATAACTGAATGAGTTTGTCTCACTCTTAGACCAGCAGGGGAACCAAATCTATGCAGACTGCTGCAATAAGTACATTAATTAACTGTCTCATCGATGTTTGTCTGAATGAATATGATACTATTAACAATCATATTATTCCTATCAGCTGTCAATCACTGTTAATAAATAATAATAATAATAATAGATTTAATTTGTTAGCGTTTTATAGGTGCTCAAAGACGCTTTACAGATATAGTGAAGAACTGTTATGATTCACATATTCATTTATTATTGAATAAACTATATTTATTTTTTGGAGGAGTTAATGATGAATGTTCATCAAGATACTTGCTCCCTCCTTCAAATTTGAAAAACAAGTAATTATATCATTATTGATATACAATTACAACCTTGACTTTACATCAGAAAGAACAAACATTAAAGAAGTGACTAACTGCATCAGTTAGGGTTAAACGTGTATTCAGCTAAAACATCGCTGCAGTTATTATCCAGTGGAAGGTCCTTACCTACTGGCCTAGTTAAATCAAAGTGGTTACTTTCTGTTGGCTGGGCAGTGTAGTTTTACACACCGTCTTATTTTACTTTTTCAGGACTTAAAATTGAAGAAAAAAATATATACACGCATACAAGGTCATCATCTTAACAGTTTGTTATTCTCATCGAGTCATCCATGAGCAGAGCATCAAGTTGACATGTCTATTACAGCTGAATGCGGCGATTACTATCTTGTTCAGCAAAACGTCTCACAAATGTATTAAGATCAACAGCTGTAGTGCGTTTTGATTCAATGCTGAGTACAGCCAAAATTGACATTCTCTTCTCTGTCATTGTAGACCGCAAATACCTCATTCCTTTAGTGCTTGGGTCCGAATGGCTTCTCGTTTTGCGCCGTCCCGTTCAAATGAATTCGCCACCAATCATATTTCCACTCTCGCGCCAGGACCGGGGGAGGGGTTACATGACGTGCATCTTGTGCTGCATTCACTTGCACTCGGACATTAGAGACTTTCTCTCATAAATGTCCGATGAGCAACAACTTTTCTTTCAAAACAAAGATGCCAACTGGGGTGGCAGCTGGGGTGGCAAGGCTATTGTTTAGGGTGGCAGTTGCCACCCCATGCCACCCCGGTAGATCCGCCCCTGAGTATGTGTCAACGGAGCCACTTATTTTTCTTGGATTGCCTGCCTTGTTATGGTGCTATTTTAAGACATGAGTTATTTTGGGTTATCCAGAAAGATGTGGAAGTGTAAACATGAACTTGCCCCCTCATTGGTTTTGTCACAGAGGTTAAAAGCCCTGATAAGGATGTGTCACTGACTACAAATAATTACAAATATATAAACAAAAGTTCAAATAATACATGTTCCTGTTAACAGACAAGCACAATTATGTAATTTAGGATTTAGTGTGTGTGTTATGGTTGGTAAACAATTCATTCATACCTTACTCATAACTTTTCACACAAAATATAGGCTATCTTAATTCAAAGAATGAAACATTGTACGATAAAAATAAATAACAATTACAATGTAATACAGCACAACATCAGACTTTATAGCTCTTCTTGGTAGATAAATAAGGAGACACTCACCAAGCAATTGTTCACATTGAACTAACATAAAGCTATTATTAAAGCACACAGCTGATTTCAATATCTTCTAATGAGCAGTGCGGTGTCTGCTGCAGAGAATCAACCATCGTGACTGCTGCTGCATTTAATCAGCTGAGAAAACAGAGGAGTTAGTGTTTGAAATGTGATACTAATTCAAACGTATGCCCAAATATTTATATTTATATACATGGTTAATAAATATTAACTTTGCTCTCTTTCTATCTTTTTATTTTAACACCATACAGGAAAAATAACAGAAATTAAATGTCATATTGTGACAAATATTTTTTATTAATTTCATGGTACAAAAGCCTCAAAAACGAAATGTAGATGTCATGAGACACACTGTACAATAAAAACTCTCCACTCAGCAATGTAGCATGCATACAAGATAAAAACTCCTTACGAGTCAGACTGTATGTTGGTAATTCACAGACAACTGCTGAATATATATTAATTTAAACAAATTACAGTTGTTTACAATGGTAAATAACAGTTTTACATAAAAACCAAGAGAAAGACAGAGCAGTAAACCAAACAATGTGGTAATGCATAATGTGTTCAGGCTGCATTGAGAAATTAAAACTCTCATGGAAGAAAACACACGTGTCTGTCAGGCCTTTGGTATATTACTGATAGATCTGTTTTAGCTATATTTAAAAAATCGTTAAAAATCGGATGTTTGCTTTCTTTTTTCATATTATTTTTGTTCTCTTTTAGATTTCTCACTGCATAAAAATACATTTAATTAGTTTTATTAAAACACATTAATCAAAGACAGTGTACGATTAATCATTTATGTACATATAACCATTATTAAATAATACACAATATAGATTCCATTGTTCTGCCTGGTGGTGTTAAATCATGTTAAATGCTTGAAACAAAACAAAGCTAGCATTTAGGCATGTCAGTAAATCTGTCCACCACTTTGTACAGTGTTGAAATATGAAATATCTTAACAACTATTAGCGGTCAGTCATGTTATAAAATGTAACTCATGTAACTTGTACTGAAATGTGGGTTGAGGAATAGTTGGATATTTTTAATCTACTATCTACCTATTTATTAAGAAATAAGATGCACACATTTGTTCTTACTTCTTCTTCTTATATCTGGGGTACATTTCTCCCAATTCTCCATCAGACTGACTTCAATGAAATGCAGTCTTGAAACCATTAGTATCTCCTGTACTACCAACAGAGTAAACCAACCCCTCCTGACTACCTGCAGCCACACTCTGCCACCTTCATCTCTTCGTACAGATATCTTATAGTGAGGCGTCCGTTCTCTTGATACATGACCGTGATGGGGTCCAGTTTGATGGGGACGCAGCACGCCATGTTGGCTATCTTCGGGTTCCTTATGTTCATCAGCGCCTGGATGAGGGCGTGTTTTGATGGCTTCATTTCACCCGTCAGCGGTTGGTAACACAGGCCCCGACATTCGAAGGCGTCGTATTCTGGAGGTGCCACGATCCAACTGTCCCATCCGATGTCTCTAAAGTTGACCTTGAGAGAGGTCCGCTGGCAGTGTTCCCTCTCTGCCTTTCTTTTCCTTCTCCGTGGGTGCTGAGCCTCCGGGATTTCGTTGGGAAGCTCATTTCCATTGTACCAATCGGCGCCCGAGTGCAAGATGGATTCTTCTTCGTGGAGAATCATCTCTTTTAATTCCTTCTTTGTTTCCCTTCTCCTGCTACCAAGATCATCTGAGAAGACGATCAAAGCTGCTGAAGTGTTATCTCCAACAGACACGCTCATATTCAGACATCCTTCTCCTTCTTCTCCATCGTTAGAGGAGGCTCCACAGTCCTTCCTGTCCACCACTACATCAAAAACAATTGCATGGTGGCCACATTTGATCCATCTCTGAATGGCTGTGGTCACATCAAACGTCTCCCACGTGCTCTCCAAACCCGTCACCTCTTTGCCCGCCAGCAGTTGGGTGGTGGAGGTGAAATCGTTGTAATCCACTTCATAGACTTTGACGGTGGCTTTGAAATTTGGGGAGTTGACCTTTGAACTGGAGTCCGGGTAGAAGAACAGCTGCAGTTCGGCAGAAGTGATATTTTCATGCTTGGGGATGCTGACGTTAAACTGCAGCCTGTGCTTTGACTTTGTGCCGTTCGTCACAGAGAAAGGGATATCTGTTTGAGAAAAAACAAAGAAGTCAGAGGGGTTTGTTAATTTTCCATTACACAACTGTTGTACACACGTGTACATAATATCATCACAGATGAAATGGCTGTTGATGATGACATGTATAGACAGCGGCGTGTCTTATATATACAAGCCAACATGTTGGCTAGAAAATGCACTTGGTGTTCAGATAAGGTTAAGGTGAACCTCTTTAGAGTGTATTGCACTCGTCTCTATACTGCCCCCTTGTGGGTCAAGTATAAGAAGGCGAGCCTCCGGAAGCTCCAGGTTGCATATAATGACTGTTTGCGTATACTGCTTAGAAAACCAAGGTGGTGCAGTGCAAGTGAAATGTACTGTAACGCACGAGTCAACACGTTCCATGCTCTCTTGAGAAATCTGATTCATCTGTCGATTGAATGTTTCTCATAACTCTGTCATTAGCTGCTTTCAAATCCGTGTTCCAGTGCTGTACGATACCAGGCACCTCTGTGGAAACATTGGTATCACTGCCTTTTTTAATTTATATTTGGGTGTTGTATGACTTGTAACAATGGACCAAGAACTTCAATTTGTTGAGTAAAATTTGAATTTAGTCACAGACTAAATCCTACATATTTATAGGCAATATCTTCTAACAAAAAAGTTTAAAGAATTCAAATGTCAGTACATCTTAATAAAGCAGGTGTGAATTACTATTTAATATATTTGTATTTGGTCATTTTTTGGCAGCAGCACATGGGTTATCATCACTATAAATAACTGTGTTGCAACTAAATAATGGAAATTGTCTGGGTAACTTTAGGGCAATGGTTCCAAATGTAGCCATTGGGGCCCACACAAGGGATAACCTACAGAGGCACAATTCTGCAAATCAAAAATGTTTTGAACACAGAGATTACACGTTCACAAGGGGTCAAAGGTTGACCACCATTGGATTAAAGCTTTTTATTTAAAGTTAATCCCCCCCCAAAACTCATTTAACTTGCCAAGAAAATGCTTATACAGATTTCCAGCCTGTTTCTCTGTAGCTGTAATGAGAGAAAGAAACCTTTAGAATGTCAAATATGGATAACAACCAAAATGAAACGTTTGGCAAGTAGGACATTTAAAATATTCCTATCAACTCTGGCACTACATGGATTAAATGGGTAGAAAACCACAATGGGAGTTATTTATTTTGAAGGTAGCGTCTCCCTCCTAAAATGTAAGGATTATTGCACATCATACTTCTTTCATATCCAGATATATTGGCGTACCTTGCACAGTGAAGCTTCGTATGACATCAGACTGAGGGTTTGCCGAGCTGTCCGAGGCGTACTTGTTGTAGAGCTCCATCATGAACTGAGGAGGGTAGATCTTGCTGTTCTCCTGAGGAACGTCCGACAGGTTGAGTTTCCTCAGAAATCCCTCCTTCATGGTTCCCAGGAGGTTCTCCATCCTGGAGTCTTCCTCCTCCAGAAGGTCCTCCTCTGACATCAGAGCGTAGAGTCCCTCAGCTTCCTCACTCTGAATGTCGTTATTGAGAGGTTTACAGATGCAAGAGCTGATATAAACCACCAGACACACACACACCTGGAACAGGAATGACCTGAACCTCTGCATTTTGAAATTAGATCCTCTGTAACACACTCCACTGGCAGAAACTTTACCTTCTTCCCAGCCTGAAAAGAGACTTCGCGACGGCAAGGTTTGAAAATGGAGATCCCCAATGCAAGGACCACAGTCCTGACGTCCGCTCCCATGCTCCCAGAGTAAACACGGGGACTCGTGTCAACCAAAATAGTAGCTTGGCCAGGCTTATCACCACCAGTGATGCCTTCTTTAAAGCGTTGTTATCATTAGAGGGCTGGCTGCTAATGAAGACACTGTAAACACTCAACAGCGATAATGAGGGAGGCACTGGAAACTGTGAGGTTACTGAAAAGCAGACGCTTCCACAAAATGCCTTTTCCCAGCTTGAGGGTGAAAGTGTTGAGGCCAACAGAAACAAAACATTCTTTACCGCCATCATTGTAAAATATGTCTTAAGAGTTCGTGTTGTATCATACTCCTGTACATAAGAGGTCATGATACCATAATGAGATCAGAAGTGACGATCACAGAAAAAACAACAACTGAATTATCATACAAATATTAAAGGGCCCATGTCATGCTTTTCTGGTTCTTACCCGTCCCCTTGTGTGTATGAAGGTTTGTCTGCATGTAAACGGTCTGCAGTCACAAACCCTCAAAGTACACCCTGTAGCGAGTACAACTCTAACACAGAAAATACCTGTCTATGCTGCCCCAGAACGCCTCGTTGGACATTTCTCATTCTCCATTGTTTGCTTCCTGGGTTCTGTGACGTGTGAACACCCAGATCAACAACAAATGACCGGATTGGCCCAAATGGACCAATCCGGGGAGCACCTCACACACCAGGATCCCTTGGCTAACTAACAGGGAGTCCCATTGGGCGCATTCACACCGCAGTACTTTTCCCACAAAGGTTCATGAGAACTTAGTTCATGAGAACTCTTTAGTTCTCATGAACTAAGTACAGATCGCGTTCACACCGGAATAAATCCCTGGGGGTGGATTAGGCAAATGAAGCCGCTGACGTCACTTCTTCTTCTTCTGCTTTGGGTTTACTGGCAGGCCGCAAACCACTTCACGGCGTATACTGCCGCCCAAAGTCCCCGGCCGGAAGTCCCCGGAGTTGGGGACTGGCTTCAGTAGAAGCTGCTGGGAGTCCCAGCAGCTTCTACTGAAGCCTTCCGAGTAAATCGCCAGAACGCCGACACCTCCTCATCTCCACCGCTCCCATGTTTTATTTTGTGTTACCATAAGTTAGTCTCTCTGCGTTTCTGCACTGGGCTAATGCTAATGTTAATAATGCTAATGCGAGGATAATAAAATGGCGGCTTCACAAAACTTTTTGGGAGTTTTACGGGGCGTGGTTTGCAATCCGCCCAGCCAATCAGACATAGGAACCTTTTTCTCCCACGAAAGTCCCTGCTCTCTAGCAGGGACTGAATAGGGGGTAAAAAGGTTCTCATTAACTAATTTTAGTACCGGCTCTTTTTGGTGTGAACGCGACAAAAGAGTTCTCATGAACTAAGTTCTCATGAACCTTTGTGGGAAAAGTACTGCGGTGTGAATGCGCTAATTGACTTGCATAGAGCTCCCTGAACGCTGGTAATAGACGAGTTGGGATGGCGGAGAAATGCTCTCCGCAGACCCATTCTCACAGCGTTATAAACCTTTTTCTTTCTCAATATCAAGCCACACTTATTGTTTTTACTTCGCCTGTGAGTGTTTGTGTGTGCTCAGGATGAGTTTAGCTTGTTCTCGCTGTATCGCCAACCCGGAAACCTGTCCGCTCCTCGCAGCAACGAGCCTCACAACGAGCCTCGCAACGTCCCGACCAATCAGAGCACACTGGGCTCACAGCGAGGGGGGGGGCAGGAGCTCCAACAAGCCGTTTAGGACAGAGAGTGAATACACATACTATACAGAGATGCTGTATGAGAAACCAATGTGATTTTGGAAAATTGCACAATTTAAATCTATTCTAGTAGACCTCAACAATGGAATTATGATCAGTAGAAATGGCCATGACATGGGACCTTTAATATAAAGTAGAAAAAGTCCAATAAAAAGAGGTATTTCCTATACTTCTCCAGAGTAGCAATACAATGCTGCATGGATTTGGAGTCACAGGGTCACATAGCATGGCAGCTATTAAAGAAAGTACATTTAAAAGAGCAGAATTTAAATGGAAGTATTCATATAAAATAGATGGTGGACTAAAATGTTGTAAAAATAGGTGTTTCCAACTAATTAGGTGTCATATTTAAGGAGAAACTTAAGGTGTTTTGTGCAGTTTGCCCCTTAATTCTTCCAGGCAGAGAATAACCAGACATCTGGAAGAACACATGGAAAATGTTTGAACTGATATACTGTATATACGCGAGGATTTATAAAATATGATAGGCATGAGAACAGAGTTTTTTTTCTCACCACTGGCACATGAAACAAAGACATGATGGACATGGTGGTTTTCATCACTACTTCCTGTATGTCCAAGATGATGATGGGTCTCTGTGGGGGGTCTGAGCCCAAAACCACAAGCCAATGTTTCCGGGGACGTTGGCCAGAGTCCGGCATATCTGGGAATGTCTGTCTTTTAGTCATGCAGTCACTCATGCCGTGTTTCATAAAAATGCTTTCAATGTGGCCTTTTCAAATGTTGAAGCATTCCTCTCTATGGAGTCAATCAGTGATGAAAAGTCTACTGGCACGGATACAGTTAATAATCTCTGCATGCGGGAGGAAAAAAACTGCACTGAGGAAGGGCTGTTGAGAAAACTGGTCACTATAGGTCAAAATGAATTGGAAAACATGCAGTAAAAACTTTAGTTTGGCCAATGAACGTTGGTCTTTGATGGTTGATGTTAATAATATTATTATTTTATTTAATGTGTAACAAAAATAAGTCAAATTTAAAAGGGTAAATCTGATCCCCTGAACTCTCCACCCTGCCTTCCACCTTTCCCCCCTGCCCCAAATGGTCCTGGACTTTAACCCCCCCCCCCCACACACACACACAACCTTCCCTCATCCAGCAACCAGTCACTTTTCTGCCCATCTCCGCTGCTACTGTACTGAAACTGTACTTTGAACCTTTTAAATATATTATTAACATTTTAAATTGTATACCCCGATTATCTAGGCCAGTGTTTCTCAAACTTTTTCATACCAAGTTCCACTTAACCAATAAAAAAACACTCGCGGACCACCTAACTCCACAAATATCCAAAAACACATCGTTTTTCTAGAACAGATTACAAATCACCTGGAAATTGTACAAACAGTTGGCAACATGTGTGACGAAGGTGTTGCGCTGGGCTATATTATGCAATCGAAAGTTAAACTTAAGCTCACTCCATTGCAGAGATATTCCCGCGAGAGTGCGGAAAACTTATTTATTTAAAATGTGAAATGTTACCAATATACTCACGGACCACTAGGGGGCACTCACGGACCACCAGTGGTCCGCGGACCACACTTTGAGAAGCACTGAGTCTAGCCTTTTTTGTTTTGTTTTATGTATATGTCACACTGTGGGACTGCGGGAAACGGTATCTCGAGATTTCTGGATGTATAACACATGTAGTAATTTTGACAATAAAGCTGACTTTGACTTTTGATTGGACACCATTACACACGTCTTGTTTCAATTATAAGTTGCACAACACTATAATAATATGTAATAAACTAAGATATATTTTCCAAGATGACTTTCAAAATAAAAGTAGTCCTCTCAGAAATCAGAACGTACCCAATAGAGCTCTTGTGGGCGGGCGGTTCCTCTTTAAACAGCAGGGTTTATACTATTGACACATTGAGTTACTGTAAGGTATATAATGTGCACAAAGCCTAAGCTTTAAACACTTTTAATAAAAGTTTGCAAATGTCTTTAACAATATGTACAATTCAATTTATTTCCTTACGAGCCATACATTAGTCTGTGAGCACACATCACTATTCAAATACACTTTAAGCCATATAATACAGTTATAAGGACAGATACATGTATCCCTTTTTAATTACCATGGAAATCTACCATTATTACAAACTGTACAAGTCATCTTTGAATAACAGTATTCATGTGTTTAAAGTCAAATGCTGAATAACAACAGGAAACGTGTTCCTTTAAAATGTTTAAGTCTCTTCGACGTTCCCAAAATGCACAGCAGGGGGCAGCAGAGCGCTGTTTTTACCCTCAGCTGAAACAGAAGCAAGTGACCTTCCAATGCTTGGAGCACAGGTGTCAGTAGGTGTCATAAATATATACAAGATATAAACAAATGGCTATTAAAATATAGTTTAAAGAAGATGTTATTACCTATCATGCACAAATAGTTATTTCTAATATATGGGAGGTTCAACGGCAACAATAGAATAGGTACAATTTAGTTTGCATTAGTAACTACAGTATTTACATGATGAGGGTTGAATAATGTAGGTGTAAATCAGTCCGTGTGTCCGTCCTGAGTCAGTGAGCAGTTCATCAGGGAGTCCAAATCCAGACAGGGCCAAGCAGCAGAGGAACTGATGAGAAAAGGTTTCAGGAACTTTTGAAACAACAAACGAGAGCTTACTCAACTTGGAAACATTTCCAAAAAGACAGCAGAGTCCAGGTGTAGGCCAGAGATAATGGAGTCTTATCTTGAATGATATTAAAACAGTCAAGATCACTTCATAAAAGTGAAAGTGTGTGGAAGAAATGAAAAATGTTACCCATAAAAGACCATTGTATATTCATGTGTCACTCCTATGTTACCTTGAATTTATGAGGGAAATAATCCTTTCCAAAAGACTTGATGAATTGCCGTAGATGGGATTTAACTCCTTTTACAAACATTCACACAAATCCTGCAGTACAATCCAAGTCTCATTTATCCAGTTGTATGTTTCATACATCACAAACACATGCATTTACATTAAAACCTGACTTATTAAGGACATAGAGATGAGAGATGCTTAAAAAAAAATAAAAACTGTTTTAAAAAAGTAATGTTTAAAGGTGGGGTAGGTAAGTTTGAGAAACCGGCTCGAGATACACTTGTTGTTATATTCCATGGAATGCTCTTAACATCCCGATA